GTAACCTCTGTTTGTCTTCGGGATCTTTTCTCGCCCACTTAGCAAGTTTCCAGATTTTTTCCGGATCTCTCGAGGCCTCTGACACCGCCGTCCTTCAGCCAATGTTCTTAGCTCTTCTTATGTGCGCCTTTTTCCTACTGGTAGACTTTTGATATTCTATCCAACTTTCTCCGGTGCCAACTATTTTCTACTTTCACCTTGCCTTTCAAGTTTCTTTTAATGCCTCAGAGCATTGGGTGATCCAGTACGGTTTAGCGAGCCTCGATGGTTTAGCGTATGGTATGGTTTTACTGATTAATTTCTGGAAAATCTCGGTGACGCAGGTTAGTCTGTAGTCTTTGGTTTGGCGAGAATCTAGGATTTCGCGCTAAGCTCTCTTTTTTTGCATCAGATTTTAATTGTTTATGCAGCTATCTAGCCACGACACAACATCAAATAAAAGTATATAATTGTTGACTCGATATACAAGAAGAGCACCCACACCTCGGATTTTATTCGCAAGTACTACGGTGAAGTTATGGCGGCTTTTTCTTTACTCCAAGTCATCTCTCATCCGCAAATACCTATCTATGGGAACATCTCAAAATCTCTAACCTATCCGAGCATGTCTCTATCATCTATTGACTAGTCTCCGCACCAAATTTCATCTTAGGCGTCTCCTTCCCAAATGAAGCAGGTGCCCAGGCTACTCAAACTATACCAGAGAACACCACTAGGAGGCGGAACACTACACCTTCCATCGTTGGCTTGTGTTTATAGTTTCAGCTGCGCTCTGGCAAGCGAAGTGTTGGCGCGCACACAAAGCTCACTTTGTAAAAACTCCTCGGCAAAATTCAAAATTACACGTCCTTCGAGGTTGTATCGATCCTCTGCATCATCACATGAGCTTGTCCTGATTGTCGCCGGATCAATTGGTGTTGGTATACAACAGAGCAAGTCCAGATTAAAATCAGTTAATTATCGAATTCTAGAGGCGGTAGGTCTTCTACATCTTGCTATATACATAGGGGATTTTAATTAACGACGCTGATCATAACATTCTCCGTTGCTAAGCAACCGTTTCCAATCTCCACCCTTGGTAGTCTCTATAGTTGACTAGACCCTAGATTCCATGTCTAACGTACTGGCGCACACGGTACACTTAGAAGGGAGTATTCCCGTAACACTGATGCCTCACGTCCATCCCACAGAACTGTCTCCCAGATTTGTACGCCAGGCTTTATTTCCTCAGTCGGGCATAAATATCGGCGTGGGCGTGTATTTGGTGACGATCTGAGGCCAGAGAAAGTCGACGAGAAGTGTGGTCTTTGGGATAAGGACGTACTTGGTCGTACTTGTAGACTCCATGAGACTTAGGTCGGAGTAAAACTCGTTGGGAGCGAAAAAACGACGTGGTGGAGTATCTTGAATCAATGCCTCGTGGGCCAAATTCTTTGATATTGCGAAATTTGACTGAACTTGGTTCTGGGAGAATATTTCACTCAAAATTTCGTAAAGGACACCGCGCACAGGTGTTCAGTCTTGCCCTCCGCGCCTAGCTCTCATTTCTACTAGTCCAGCGTCAAGTCTTTTATTGAATTTATCCCAGTTTGCTTTCTTCCATTGTCGGTTGAGCACCGAATTAAACACATTACATGTTCCTCTGTATGCCATATATTACCCTCCGTATATTATCACCCCTGTGACTCTACTTCCACAATATCCTAACAGATTGCCTCTGCCAACCTTCTAGGTGGTAACCTCATAATTCGAGTTCATTTCAACCACTTCTAAGGCTTCCACGTCTCAAAATCCCCACCTCCACTCGCAGGCATTGAATTGGCCACAGTAAATTTTTAATGAGAAACCCAAGTTTGGCGTCCTCCGATAATTCCTCATGGACAAAAGTGTTGAAAGAAATGGTCGCAGGTCGTATTGTAGCCTTCTTGGCATTAACTAGGGACTTCGAAAATTGTTTTTTGTTTCAAGAGGAATGAGATATTCAGCTTTAACTAGTATCGGCTTGAATAGTCTTCATAAGTTTCTTCGTGATTTAAATACTTCAGAAATCTCTGCAATCCGAGAGTTCAGTCCAAGTTCAGTCCGACACAGCTCCTTCTGACAAGTCTGTCAATCAGGAAAAAATCGATTCGACCGTTTGGGGATGGCTGAATCTTGGCTCTGAGTGAATATTTCACTCACAGGTCTATAGAGGACATCAAAGACAGGTGCTCAGCCTTTGTATTCTTGATGAAGTTTATTTGTACTATTTAAAGTCTTGCCCTGTCATGGCGAGATATTCTTGAACCAGAGTCTAAGCAAAATGTCTGAGCATCAAGTTCACGGAACAGTTTTTCGGGTCACCCTCAACACTTGCACTTACATCGTGAGACCAGACAATGCGCCAACTTGAATCGATATGGTTGAGGTCACAGTTTGAGTTATAATGAGAAGTTACTATTGTCTTAGTTGAATTATGTCACATATTTTTTTTAAAATTCATTTTGTATTCAGCTATTTAGCTATGACAATTTATCTAACATTAACACTAAGCAATCAAACTCCCCTAAATAATCTTTCCCATCATTGTTGTTCCATATATCTGTCCAATGTTTTTTGTTCTATTTATTCTCCCTTGTGTATGTCACATAGTTACTTGTACTTAAGGAAGCTGGAGCTACAACAAAGTAGTTCTCCAGCTTCAAAATCTTCTAAAATCATTACAGCATTCCTCTCACAACCCCGCTTCCTTCTCGTCTTAGTATTTCCTCGGCTATCGATTTCTCTCGTATTCACCACCTGGCATCTCCATACCCTCGGCGAACGACGATCTTTTTCTAACCCACGGCACGCCGTAACATGCCCGCTCACAGTACATGGGATCTTCATGTACCGGCTGGCCCAGTCTAAACAAAACTACTCGAAATGTTGGCGCCTACAAACACTCACCAAAGTGAATAAAAGCCGGGATCTTCTAATTCTGCGCTCAAAGATTGTGGGATAAATGGATGCCATCCGTCCAATGAATCTCATGATATGAAGTTGGTACTAAATGAAGAAAAGATAAAAAAAAGAAAAGTAAGGGATAAAAGAAATTGTTGAAGTTGAGGGTCGTGCCCGTACACAGTTTCCATCTTCTTTCAATGTGAATTTAGCGAGATTCCACCACCGCTTTCTGGGCTCATCAAGGCCCCTCTAGAAACATAGATTTAGAGACCGGCCCTAGTCTAGGAATAACACCTGAACTGGATGGTCTAAGCCGACGTGCGCTTACGGCGTTAATTTCATCTCTTTCTAGATATGAAGATTTTGCTCTATATCATCGAAATTTTGCACACGAAGATGCCTTATTTTCTTGCTCCGGTGGCAAAGACGGAAGCCTAGATCACTTCATCTACTGTAGCATATGAAGAAACCGTGTCAGTACTCATTATGGATCTCTGCATCCTCGCTCTAGCATAAAATGGGTAGTCGGTATTCCTAAAGGCGTCCTAGCCTTCAGAGAATGGGTCGAGATGTCGAGTTTTTATGGCAAAGTTTAACGAGCTTACTAAATTTTTCCCGCAAATTTTTAATTTTGCGTGGAGCTAATGTTAGATGGAAGGAATTATTTTCTTTTGCAGTACGACTTCTTGGAAATTCTCACAGCCATTTAGTCGTCTGCGGGAGTAATTTCAAAGTACTTGTAGATTAAAAGTAAAATCCCTGATGTAGGGAAACTTGCAACATAAAAATAGGATATAAGAGTTTGTCTACTGTTTGTTTACTGTTTAACTTCCTTTGGGTTGCCGAGCCAAAGCCCGGGCCTAGAGTGCCTACTAAAATATCTAGAGGGATAGTCGCCAGTGCTTGCTACCCTGTAAGCTTGGTTCCTACTTGTTACGGTTTAACCGTTGTTTAAGCATAGGAAGAAACCTAAGCGTTTGATTAGGGTTAATTACAATAAAACTGAAAGAGGAAGGATGAACTAATACAGATGAGATGGCACTACAAGCCAGGAGGTCGAAGCAACATCATGGCGTAATGGCTCCTGATAATACTTGGCTAGGTTGCAAGTATTAGGCCAAGGGGAAAGTTATCAGTCAGCAGATTCATGAAGCGGATCAAACGCAATAGGCATCTATTGGTAGCAGCTAGAGATTTCTGTTGGAATATTTAGTTTAATAAATCGATTTATACATCACCAACTCGGTTTCCGTCACAATGATACTCCCGAACTCGGGATGCCGGACTCTGTACGTCAAATATTGTGCTGGCGTATGACAAAGCTCACACATCATGTATAGCACGCTTCACAGATTTGCCTTCAATCGCATTTTTTGGACTAGGCTTCCTAAGGCCCTAAGTATTTCTACAGATTGCTTTAAAATTATTTTAGCTTGCGACTCAGCATCTTGCCATGACTGTGTTTATTGTTTCGCCTTCACTCTCACAATCGAAGGCTTGGCGCACACAATGCTCTTGAAGTTTAAACAATTCTTCCCAAGATTCGAAGTATTACCCCTCTCTAGATTGAATATATCCTAGCGTCTACCACGTCTATCCCAAAGGTTTACCTCTCGAATTTGTCTCCTCCCTCGAATTCTCGTATCGGCCTGGGCGTATTTATGTAAGCCAGGGGCTAAGTCGACGATATGTGTGGTGGTGGAAATGAGAATATGCTAAGTCTCACTCGTAGACCTGACGAGATCTTGATCGGAAATGGTCTTTTTGGGGTTAGAACATTAATGTGGTAGGTAATTTTGAATTATTGTTCCGTGGGCTAGCTCTTCCGGTCTCGCGAAATTTGACTGAACTCAAATTTGAAGAATATTCCATTTCGCTTTCGTAGAGAAGACCACTGACAAGAGTCTATTCTTCGTGCACCCCAAAGTATATATTTGGTTATTTTTGTTAGGACTAGCATTCTTATTCGCTGGACCCAAGCACCCATTCAGCCCATGCACTGTAAGGCTTAGCGTTGACGTCTTGCAACGTGCCAGGAAAGTGAGGTTTGTACGACACAAATCAAGAAACTCGCAATGGCGCCCAAAACATACATCGTCGAACATCTTGATGATGAACTTGGCCCCTGGTCAGAGTTAGAATATGTATCCATAGCTAAAGAATCCGAGGAAGCAGGTGACAAATTTTGTTTGTGTTCTGTGCCCACCACTTTGGTAGTGCCAGAATCATTGAAGATTGTGGCTGGTTTCACCATGGATAACCGCAGTATTGAATCTATTTATGCTCATGATAAGGAGCGAGTCTGCTTACTAGATCCTCGAGCGCCGAGTGAATTGACACCTGCAGATGATAAACTTTTTGATGTATTCCTCTTTGGAGGAATTCTTGGTAAGAAGAAAGCTGTTAACCTTGTACCAAAAGAAAGAAACATCTACTAATATAAACTAGGAGATGATCCTCCTCGAGGTAAGAGTCCATTTAATTGACGTGACGGTATGTTGAAGCCTTTTAGATAGGACATCCGAATTAAGGGCCAAAGGATTTCACGGTCGTCGTCTTGGTGCAACACAAATGACTACCGATACCGCGGTGAGAGTAACACGCCTAGTAATTCAGAAACAAAGTATGTTAACGATAATGATAAAATAATATGGGATCTACTAATCACATGGTAGAGGGGCTCGATGAGATAGCCTACAATGATGAGCCAGAGATTCGGATAAACAAGCATGAAAGTATTTCTATGCCTTTCCGCTATGTTCAAAATGCGGCGGGCAACCCAGTTATGCCAGACGTATGAATCATTAAACTCACAGAAATTGGGATCTGACTGTTAACTTACTGGCTAGGGAATGATAGAATTAATCAAGAGGGACTCAGAAAAAAGCTTAGACGACCTTTTCTAACTAATTAATCTGTAGCAAATTATACCACTAGCAAGTCTGCAAGGGAACATAGATACCACGACTTAAAAAAGAGATTATAAAGGAGGTTAAAACCCGTTCAAAAATATATCTGGTCCAAGTTACTCATCCAATGAGTTACTTTTCTTGATCTCCATAGTATGGATACGGAATCGTTTGTTCACTTATCCGTACTAGACGCCCACTACACGGCCAAGAACGAATCTACGCACCTCGAACAGCGTATTTTGATGAATTAAAGGCAACATTCGCTGTCTGACCAATAGCAGCGTGGGAACACTGTGGCCAGATGTAATTTTTCTTGTGTCGAACATGATCTTCAAACCTAAAGTGATAAACATCTCGTGGACATACCGTCATTATCCTTGCCGATGACACAGGCTTCCCTTAACGATTCTTGCTCATTCCATAGTACTTGCCCTGCTGCTCGCTAGCCACTGTAATAGAGCACCAGATACTCATACTTTCTCATTAATTCTCACTGAATAACGATAAATGATGCAAGGCTAAACTAGGTTACTAGCTGCCACGAGCCCCCCCTCAGCGCTGTTAGATAACGATGGATACAGTAATTTTCTTGCTTTGCCTTCATGTTTTACAGGTAGTTTTTGGAATTTCTATCTGAATCAAACTTTGATTATGTATGCGGCTATCTAGTTTTCTACTAAAGAAATAGTGACCCCTCAGTTATTGACTCAATTAGATACTGAAGAAAAACTAATTACAGGGTTGGTAGTCACGTTAGTGACAAAAGTGTGGCCCACTTGATAGCCCCAATTATTCTAACTTGTAATACTTTCAGACAATATAAGGGATAAAGTACAGAATAGATGACACAATATACAAGAAGAGAAAGCATGCCTCCCATTTCATTTGCAAGTACCACTGCGAAGTTATGGTAGCTTTTTCTTCACCCCAAGTCAATCCTCATCCGCGAATACCCATCCAGGGAACCATCTCAAAACCCCCAAATTATCCGGGCATGTCTCCATCACCTATTTATTTGTCTCCGCACAAGATGTGATCTTAGGCGTCTAATTTCAAAGTGGAGCAGCTGCACTTTCGCAATCGAAATCTTGGTGCGCAATATGCTCTCTAACTTGTAAATATCCTTGCCACAATTCGAAATCTCTCACCGAATGAGATTGTATCCATCCTCTGCATCATGTTGTAGACTTGTCCTGATCTCTCCCATGCCCATCCCATCGAACTGCCTCCTAAATTTGTGCCCCACGATTTTTGTCCATCTGCGGATTTTAGTATCGGTGCGGGCGTGTATTGATGGCCAGCTGGGGCCAGAGAAAGTCAACGAGAGGTGCGGTCATTGAAGTGAGGATGTATTAGGTCGTACTTATAAACTTGATTTTATGGTTGTAACTGATATCTTTGGTAGTGGACACCATCATCAGGAGCTCCGTCTTGTCAGTAGGCACCGGTTAGTTTGGTGACTGGGCTGGCCGGCATATGACCTACGTCATGGGCTATGCACGGACACGGTGTTTAATTTGAACGAAGGCTAATTCATAATAGATCTCCGGCCGACAGACCGACTTCGGACTTTGTCGATAATCTACAGTCACAAATTAAAAAGGTCTTCACTCTCCATAGCGAGGTTTATCACGGTGTTAACGCTCCTACATGTCGCAATTTGTAAGCGCCTCTGCTGCGCTCCAAATCAGAGTTTCCAGAGTTATTGGCTAAGCTGGAATCATGGCCTACCACTACCTGGTAGGAGTTTTGATTACTCATGCAAAGAAACAGCAAGCTTTAGCAGTAATCTACTACCAAATAATAATCCCACATCATATATAAGGCTTTTCAAGCTAACTCTAAGGTTTAGTGTCCAGCCCCCTCTTCACATGGAACTTGTAAGCGAGATCTCATAAACCTAAGCAGTGGCGGGAGGCTTGGTTGCTGTATAAAGGACAACCTACTTTTACCACCTCTTTACAGACTTTTATCTTAAGAAAAGCTGTAGGGACTATCGATGGCTGAAGACTATTCCCTCCCATGGCTTGGATGGCAAGAGTCGGCTGAATCATCTAATAGACATAAGCGCACTCGCCACAGCAGTCCACCTATTTCTAGCGACCCTATTTTTTCCAGTGATGACGACCCATCCTGCGAGAACTATGCCCAAGAGCGTCGCAAGAAGAAGTTTCGAGGGCCTTGGTTCTGCCAGCGTCCTGTACTGTCAGAAGCTCTCGACCCAATTTCTGAGGAACCAACAAGGACAAGACGCCCATTCCAGAGATATTATGACAGTGGCGTATTCATGGGAAGTGATAAGCTAGATATGGATGCCGATGATGTTTTGGAAAAACTTGGCTTCCAGAGCACCTCCAATTTTCGATTTGGCCTACACACATCTCGTCTTCCGCCTTCACCAGAAGATCTCGTATTTCAATACATACAAAATTGCTTAGAAGAAGGGAATGAAACTATTGATCTTTCGTAAGGTACTCACCAAATATTTATCGTACTGACTAACATAAAAGCTCTCGCAACCTTACCAATCTTTCAAATGCAATGATAAAGCCATTGGTCTCATTCACCAGTGTCCCATCCGTTGGAGAAAGAGTATTCTCGATACTTGAGCCAAAATTAAAAATATTTCTAGCCTCTAATAACTTGACAACCTTGCCATTTGAGTTATTCCAACTAGACCGGCTTCACGTTCTTAGCTTACGTGGTAACCTTTTTCACGAGTTACCTCCAATGATTGGAAATCTGTTTAACCTCAAGGAACTCAATCTCTCACAGAATGGCTTACGCTACCTTCCGTATGAAATATTGAATCTTTTCTCTGAGGATTGTAGCCTTGAAACACTTCACTTACACCCTAACTTATTTTACGAACCTCAGTTGGGTCATAAAAATAAACCTGAGAAAGATATTCCCCCGGAATCCATTCAGCCACCTTGCAGTAATAATATACCAAACAGCGCCAATAATAGGTGGAAAATTACATATCAAGCACGAACTGAAGTCAGGTTTCTTGAGGTTAATGGAGCTTTAGCCAAGGGCCCAGATTTTTTGAATTCATCTTCACAATTATCATCAAATTCTTTACCAGTCGCTTCAAACTGTTATCGTCCAATACCTCCGTTGCCTCGTGGAAATAGTTTATCACGCGTACCATCACTTGCAGAAACAGCGTTGGCCTCATTTTCAAAAACCACGGAATCACCATACTTAGCCCCATCCCTATATGAGGGCAGCCCATCACACTTTTACAATCTTTTCAATTTGGCTCTTAACAAAAAACACTCTGGGGGGTCGTCCTGTACAGTCTGCAGTCGCAAATTTATCATTCCACGGACAGAATGGATTGAATGGTGGGAGATTTCTAAAGTATCCAGCTCTTCCTTCACGAATATGGGAAATAGGATCTTCAACGAACGAGATGATGCAGAGCGTTTAATCCCATTTGTGAGAAGGGGCTGCAGCTGGCTTTGTGTACCAACCATCGACCAGATAAGAAAAGCAGGCCTTTAAAATAATAGCACAAATTTTTAACTTTAAATCGAGCCGCCCTACTTGGCGCCTTCAGACCTATACCACATGTACAACACCCAATAAGATCCTTTTAAAACAAGCATTAAGGAATATCTCACTAAAAAGAAAAACAAAGTACTCTATCTTTGTCACGGTGTGAGATTGAATCAAAGAAAAAATGCCTACAAGATAAATATTTTCAAACACGGATTCAAATTAGCACAGGACAGGTAATTTAATGGACTTATCGATCGTCTACTGAGCATACAGCATAATATAGCGAGGACGAAGCCTTAAATCTGAAACTTCCTTGCAAGTTTGTCGAACATTTTTGCCGGCAATAATCATTCGATCACTTCATAGGAAATATAAAATGATCAAGTTTAATCTTAGCCGTATTTTCTTAATGATATTTGCACCTATGACTAAATCCGGAAACTGAAAGACTCGAGAATCGTCCACAGTTAAGTGGTAAAAAAGAAAATATAGCGGACAATAGTTATATGTAAAGGTTTCTGCCAGACACGATTATAGCGCTATATTCTATAAGGATCTCAAATGAAAGTTTCCTCAGCTTTCCTAACAACAATTATTTATATGAAGCTACGTTAAATCAATTGGAAATCACTGTAAATCTGATAAAGATCAGTTACGACTTTCCTGTGCATCCTCAAAGAAACCTCAGTGTTTTTGACCAAATTACTAAATTAACCAATCCGAAGCTTCAAAGAGATTTAATTTCTCTATGTCAAGTACTTAAGTCACCATTGGTAGGATCATTCGATTGACTTGGGATTATGAGCCGGAAACTATAGCTGTAACCCAGGCAGCAACATGATTAGAATATCAAAACAGTTCACATGGGTAATATGCGCTCTTACGCCGTGGGGAATGATTAACTGATGTCATAAGGTATTGACACGGATAAGATTTACCCCACAGATTACTGACGGAATTAATTGGCTTTAAGGTCTTCGATTTTCGTTTCGTTTTGGTTAGGTTAGGATCTATTTTGGTGTTCGCGCTAGTGTGCGGAAACCCCTATTATGAATGAAGAGGGGCTTCTCGCCACACAGATATATATAGAAAATAATGAGCAATTTAATTACAACCAGCTAGCCATAAACCATGAGTAAACTTCTAGTGCTACCGACATTTTAAACACTGACATAGATGGAAGTTGTTTTGGTCCGTCTCCTGGTCGTCACCTCCCTGAATTAGAGTTTGGGTAACCTAGACATCTTCCTCACCCGAGAAAAGGAGGACCATGAGGCTACATCTCGCGCAGTGCTATATACAAAATGGCAAAGGAATATTAGCTGTCTTGGGCCACATTATACCAATAGCCACAAGTGCAACACTTGTTGTGCAATCAAAAGTTGATTTCACCACGCTGTCCAATGTGAAAACTGCAAGTCCAACAACCACAAGGAATTCCAAAAATTAAACTGTGACTCGTACAAAACTTTAAAATACTAGATACACTCAAATTTAGTTAGCATAACACTGAAAGGGGTTGGGAGATATAGTATTCCTTTTGAGGTAGCTCTCAAGGAGGAATCTGAATATTTTTATACAGGAACCATACATGTTCCATCGCCTACCAACTCAATCTATTCGACCAATCAACCATTCTGCTTTCAATCTTATACCGCCTGTTCAAACCACCAATCTGCGGCCTAGGGTCCTTATTTATGTCGACTAATCTCGCCAGCTTCAAGTTTCCCTTGGATATGACTTGGTATCAGACCCTGACCTTCAAATTTTGGAGGTAGAACTCACCAGTGAATCATTCTATGTGGCTCATACCTACAATGAGAAGCCAACCTCCGGCTACTCAATTAATCTCACAGTGGAACACCTCTTGGATCTACAGTCGAGACTGAACAAGCCTATACCATTTCTTGGGGATTTCAAATTGCATCATTCATCTTAGAATCCACTTGTCCAGAATAACTCTGTAATTGATCTCGACTTTGCCATAGAAAAGCCGACTGGGACTTGTTCAAAGCTCACTGTTTAATGACTTAACGATCAAATGATCAATATGTATTTCCTTAGAACTAATGACTAATTGTGTTGATGAGTAATGAGGTACCCGTTTGGGAATGGCGTTAGGAGACGGGGGTTTTACGGTTTATAGATGTTTTTCTTCTAGGAAGACATGGGGGAGATAGATCAATTCATACGTACCATAATTGTTACTGCTACATCAAGCTTGTGATATCAATTACCACCGAAGTATTCCGACACTCACATTTTACAATAGCAAGAACTAATGCAGCTAAAAATGAAAGAAGCTATTAATAGCTGTTATGTAGATAAAATAGCCCCCATATTGCAAGAGGTTGTGTAAACTGCAGCTCAAGAGTCTATCCAAAATTACACCAAGGTCAAAGCCATAGTTGACCAAAGATCTCGCCTCACTTCAACAGATGTTTCACAGGCTACGACGCCAAGAGAAGAATAGTTGTACCTCTGAGGTAGTACAAATGGCAAATTTTAAAAGTTAGCATAGTTGAGGTGGTTATGGCGAAAGAGTGCGATACGTGAACCAAAGGTAAAGTATAATGACTCTGATCAGACCGGCAACATAGTTCGTTAAATGTCCGATTTTCCTCAGGCATGTACCAAGAACATATAGTACATAGATTAGCTGTGATAGATAGAGGGTTGGGTATCGAAGTATTAGAAGCTGATTCGAGAGCCCATCATCATCATCCTCATTATTATTGTTATTGTTATATACAAACTCGACCGAAGAAAACTGCCGAAAGTTGGAGGGAAAACACCAAATCTGTGAATAGTGGGCAAGAAGACATGGGGTCAGATTCGCGCCTGAAAAGTATCAGTTGATGCATTTCTCCCGAGCCAGGAAACTAAATAACCTCAAAGCGACAATTAAAATCCAAGGCCATAACACAGTCCCACAGCCTTCCCTATGAGTTCTCGGAACATACTTTGATCCCAAGCTGAGCTGGGGAGCTCACATCAAGAGCCTTCAACTGAAGGCAGAGATGCAGGTTCAGGGTCTTAATAGGCTAGTTCTATCGACGTGGGGAGCCACATTTCACAAATCAAAGATACTATACAGCATGGTTGTAAGACCAGCGCTAACATACAGGTCACCTATTTGGGCCGAGGTTGGACCGGGTGGAAAAATGCTAGAGAGGATAGTAGGATCTCTCAGAAGCATATAGAGGAATTGTCTGAAATTTGTCACCGGGGCATACAAGTCTACGAGCACGAGAGTGCTGGAACACGTAACAGCCACCCTTCCGATTGAAATTTTCTTGAAGCAACAAAGGCTTTAATATTTAGGTCGCTCAAAGGATTGACCTGTTCAGAAGGCAATCTAATTCGCCTGTAGTAAAATCAAGCTGCCCAGAAAAGGGAGAGAAGATATACGAAAAGTTAACAGGAGGATAGGTCTTACCAACTGGACGGGAATGTGCGGTGAACAACAAACCAAGAAGACACACACAGAGATGGTGAAAGTTATGGTTTCCAAGAGTGGGCGAAATCCTGAGCCAAGCAGAAACAGACTCGGTAGCCTCGGCAGATAGCAACTGCAGATCCCGAAACCTGGAGAGCAGCAAAATTTTACCATAGTAGAGAGTCTGGACGACAAAAACTGAGTTTTCAAGGCTCACCATTCTTTCGTCATCGTAACCTGATAAGGACCCTAAGCAGTTTGGCGATGCAAATACGAAGTGAGCACATGAGGCTTAACTCGTATTTATACAGAAGAAAAGTACCCGAAGTATTAAGTACAGGTTGTCCATATGGCTACCAATCACAGAACACCAAGCATATGATTATGTCCTGCCCCCGATGGTTAAATAGTAGAGCTAAGATCTGGGGACAAGCCAAAGATCGGTCCTACGAAGCGATAATAAACAATCCTGGAGACATCAAAAGGATAACACAGTGGATCTTAAATCAAGGTTGGATTGAGCAATATCTGTCTGGTTTATATGGATGGCACTATAGTATAACTGCGCTTCCTGAAGAAAATTTGCGAAAACTATAGACAACAATCAGAAAGGTGTGGGGTGTTTTCACTATAAAGGTTTCCTCCCGGGTAAAAATTATAGATTGTAGACACCTGCATGGGCCCATAGGGCGCTAAATCAGGATAATGAAATCAAAATCAAATATTTAACGTCGTGCCCGCGCACAGCACGTGAGCTCCTCACGTAACGGTTAGCCCAGTCTATATAAAACTACCCGACGTGTTGGTGCCTACATAGACCCAACATAGCAAATGAAAACCAGGATCTTATTATCTTGCACTCGAAGTTTGAATTTACATGAATATCGGCCTCCCGTTGTCTCTCATAATTTACAGATGTTATTCAATGGAGAATACAAATCAAAGAAAATAAACTGGTAAAGAGGGAAATTGGTTACATTACTTTAAAGCTCTCTAGCTCTTATTTCATGACTAGCTGTTAAATATATAAACTCCCTCCGCTGAAGCAAGAGCCCAAGATATGGTGGGATTGAAGATCTGAGACCTGTAGAGCTATACCTGGTACTGCCCGAGGTTGCAATGGAAAAAATGCTCGGGGGACTTTTCTTCTCCCCATGGGCAGGAATTATTAGTATATGTCGAATAATCTAATAACTTGATGATCTAGGTCCTCGATATGGGCCGAGGCCGGGCCAACAGTAAAGATACCTGAAAGGATAGTTTGACCCCTCAGAAGTAATCAAAGAACCTGCTTAAAGCTTGTTGCAGGTGCCTACAATTCTACTAGCAACAGAGTGCTATAGCACGAACCATCCGTCCTCCCTATAGACATAAACCTAAAACAAAGGATAGTCCAGCTCGCCGGACTATCAGCTAAAGTCTCAGTTCAAGAGACAATCAGATCGACATGTAAGAGGATAAAGCTGCTCGCAAACGGGAGAGAAATTCCGCATGCTTTGAACAAGAGTAAAGATATCGCCAAGTGGACAGGAACTTGCGGATGGGAAAAGGACAAGAGAAGGCAGAAAGAAGCTGGAAAGATAGCGGCCTTTCAGGAGTGGAGAGGTTCACGGACAAGCCAGATTAGGAAACACCGCCCTGGCCGACCAGCATCAGCCGATCCAGAACATTGGAAAGCGGCAAATATATTTACTGATAAACAAACAGGCAGCGTCAAAATGAACTTCAAAGATACACCCTTAATAATCCACCGTAGCCTAACCAGGGCCCAAAGCAGTGTCGCCATTCAGCTAAGAAGCGAGCATATCGGACTCAACTCTTACCTGAGCAGAAGAAAAGTACCCAGAGTAGAAAAGCCAAGCTGTCAATGTGGATATCCGTCGCAAAACGTCAAGCATATGGTGTTGGCATGTCCGCAGCAGGCAGGTGGAAGAGGTGACTTTCTCCGACAAGCTAAAGACATGTCATTCGAAGCCATGATAAATAGCCCAGAGGGTGTGGCTAGAATCACACAGTGGATACTAAGCAAAGGATGGTTTAAACAGTTTCGACTTGCAGAGGAAGTCGAGGTAGCAATTTCGGATATAATAAACCGATCTGGAGGGGGAAAGGATGGAATCCACACTGGCTAAACAGAGTACATTGCACTTCCTGAAGGTAAACTAAATAAATTGATAGGAACATAAAAAAGACAGGATCAGGGGGATTTCACCAAGTTTGTTTCCTCCTTTGTAAATAATGTAGATAGTCACCTGCATGCCCCTATAGGGTGCCTGATTGGGTTAAATGAAATCAAATTCAAAATTCAAATTGAAACAATGTTATACAAATCCCAACATCAAACCAAGGAAACCCCAATTAAAATGAAAAGAAAAGTTGTATTTAAATAGTTGTCTTTCATAGTAAGAAACTCAAATAGGACATAAATATATTTGAAAAATGTTTGAAATATATAAACATATTTACTTCCGATCTAATCACAAGGTGGTGTGGTGTAATGGTATCACGTGACGTTGTGGTGAACACGCATGATCCGTTTCAATCTGGGTTCGATTCCCAGCACCGCCACAATCCGGATGTCATACTAGAAACAGCTTTTTTAATGTATTGAGGGATCTTGTCAAATGAAGATAATTGCAGAATCTTAACGTAACTCCAGATCATCCATAAATCCGTAAACTTGCACCGTGAAAGGTGCCAGCCCTCAGAATTATACTTTCATGAATTCAGACTATAACTCCGTTGATTTTTAGGGTTGGATAGTGCAGTGATGATCGCGAAGGCCATTCTTATAAGTAGAATATGAGGGACTATTCTCAACACCTGTCAGTGGTGTCCCCTACGAACCCCCAGCTCTATCTGTAAAGTCTGCAGAGCCGAGATTGAGTAACAATGCTCTCACTTCGACGAGGATTCTCAATCGCTTTCGCCGTCTGTAACGTCTTCATCTCTCAACACATTCTCCTATCACCATTATAATGGAGCTAACCCCAATCATATTAGATTGTGCCGGCAAAGTCGAATTCTTCACCTTCCAGTGGTTCCGGTGTAATCGCTCAGTATGCCCTGCATATCTGGGATAGCCAAGGAGACTCGCATCCTTCGCAATGGCAGCTTGCTGAGCGTGGCCCAGTCGGTTTCGATTGACACATGGTCTAGGTTCCGTTCCCGGCACGATAGATCGAAAGTTTAAGTTTGGGTCTCTTCTATTCAGTCTTCTAACAACTTCCCGATTGAGTTTGACTGGGAGTACTTTACGACTCACCAACAACCCTCCAAAATCAAAGGTAATATTCCTTTCGCTTTCAACCTTACCAACATTGTGTGCAGGACTGGGCAATTGCTCGGCCTCATATTAGACAAGCACCTCGACCGCGACATCAACATTCTCAACCTTTCGACACATTCCAATGACGGCGCGAACGAAGAAGCCTCACTCAGACAACGAACAATGTACGACAAAAGCTGGGGCACCGATGCCTCGGTTTTGAGCTCTCGATTTCGGAATTTCAGTCCTCTCAAATGGGGGTTGAGCGCAATGCAGGGGAGAATCTGGGAAGAACGTTATGTGATTTTCAATAGGCTGTTGGCACAGTTGGTCGGGTGCTGGATGTGCTTCCTAGAAGTGGTAGGTTGGATTCCTACACGGCCTGTTCAAGGGGGGACTAGGACTGCTCGTCGTGAAAGAGTACAGGAGGAATTATTGAGGTTTTCCCACGAAGGTTTTCCCTCAATACATGGTCATAGGATTATGGTGAATGCGTTCTTACCTATTCAACCCGATGTAACTACCGTGAGGCACGTATTTGGAAAAGTCAGGCACCGGATGGACTTTGCTGGAGTATAGAGGAACTTGTATTCTAGATGTCCTCCATGCGTGTCACGTCCATTGGATGGAGGGTGTAAGCCTGGCACGATGAATAAAATCATCATCATATTAAATTGTAGGTTCAAAGCCCTACTCGTCACCTACCATTGATCGTAGGGGAGAAGCCACCCTACGAGTTTCCGGAGCGTGCCCAGCACCCGATATGGAGAAGGTGGATTGGATCAAGTCGACATCGAATGTTACGAAGAAGGGAAATATAGATAGATATGCGCACCTCACGTAGTCACGATGTCTAGGCCTCGCCTAGTGGCTTCTGGTTGGTCAGTTTATGATCACAATGATTTCACGCAGGTGTCTCGTGACTCCGACTAATCAACAATATAATGTGAGTAGAGCTTGAGACTAAAAATACGTGAATTTTGACTTATTTAATGCAGGATCGACAATTTATTTAAATATTTCCTCCGCACCACGTGAGCAAATCAACAGCGCACAATGTGCACGGTCGGTTTTCATCAGTTGGGATCCACAGCCTGGCTGTGACTGTGGCTGCAATCTTTTTGAGACTTTTTTCCGCGCACGCAGTTTCCATTGCTACCATATTATTATTATCTTTCATTTTTTGGATAGAGGGCTCGGTGGAAAAGGTGGCCGAATTCCGCGGGTGGACACTGAGCTGAATGGCTATGCATCACGGGCAATATATCAATGATCTTTCAAGGAACAAAAGAGGATAGGAGCACTGTACAAGATGTAGCCTGGGACAGAGAGGAGCCCAATGTGCTGGATAGTCTTCGAATCAAGTAATAAAATAACCAACACACACAATACGATGCCATCGTGAGGGTCATGGCTAGACACTAGGCACGATTAAAGGTGCCCTCGCCCTCAAAAATTGGGTTGAGCTGACGAGGTTCCACGACAAATTCCAACGAGCTCATTACTTGTTACCCTCCGACAGGGCAGTCTTGCGTCGAGTTAGTATTGGGGGGACTTATCATCTCTTTATAGTGACATCATTTTCTCTGAAAATCGTGCAGTCTGCCAGAATAATCTCATTAAACTTTTAGAATAGATTCCAACCTCTTGCAGAAGGGAAATTTGGTGCAATAAAATTGGATATCAGTGGCGGACAGCTAGTCGTAATTTGAATTTCTGGGTGCGTCGGGTAGTTCCTCCGGGATCAGACTGTTCAGTATATGATCATAGTTACGAGCTGAGTGAGGGTACAACGTTAAGTTAAATCAGTTCAATTCATAGCTAAGTATTCGCAACGATACTCAAATAATCTAGATAAAGTCAAAGAACTGATATTTCTGATGACCTGTCTCCGAGCTAATTAAGTTACCGAAGACCCGAGTGGAGCATTGATCTATCCGTATCACGCTTCTTTACAGTATCTGCTTTAGCAGGAATTACGCCGCTTCTTGTTGACTTAAATCTGTAGAGGGAAGTGTCTAAAATAAAACTTGTGTGCGCCACTCGGATATATCTACTCCAGTCTGTACTTATTCCTATGATAATTATGACGTGCACGAAGGGTGATATTCTTTTAATTTTTTACATATTTTGAATTTCTTCCATAATAAAATTCCGATTGACTTGCTATCCCATTCCAACGCCTTAGAATTACTACAAGATGATGGAAATAATCAAACTGCCTAACTGCACCCCGTTTAAGGTTTGCTGATCTTGACGCAGATTAATTGAGCTCTCGACATACTTTTGTAGCTTTTTATGCTTTCATTTTGAGAACTTATTTTTACAAAGAAACTGATATACTTATGACTTTTTGAAAGATCTCAGCGAGGAGATTGAGGCGAGAATTGAGGTGAGGTAGGACTGTATGAAGGGCTTTTTGGAAACATTAGTCTTAGATATTTCGCATAATTATTACTTACCTAGTTGGGCTGTATCTCGGACTAGTGACGTTCCCAGTTGCTGGGCTGGTTGGTGACCAATTAGGAGACGAGGGCGAGTAGACGGGTGACTAAATTATTGGGGTTAGAACTATTATTTGGATGAGGAGCGACGACTTACCGTTGGTGACAAGCCTGTTCCAGCCGTAGCTTTGTTACTTGTGAAGTTTGGCGACGAGGGGCTATAGTTAGGACTTGTAGGGCTGTAACTCGGAGAGGTTGGAGAGTATGATGGCGAGGAGGGTGAAACATGCAAATTAGGGCTCGTGGGACTATAGTTCGGACTAGTTGGACTATAACTTGGGGAAGTTGGGCTATAGCTTGGAGACGTAGGACTATAACTAGGTGATGTAGGCGATACAAAGCTAGGTGATGTAGGGCTGTATGCTGGACTAGCAGGAGTAAATGCTGGGGATACTGGTGAAAAGCGGGGCGAGGAGATATAGCCTGGGCTTGTCATACCCATTGCTGGTGAGGTTGGAGAATAAGGATTTGGAGAAGAGGGGCTGAATCCAGGACTTTGCTGCGAGCTAAATGGCGACTGCGGGGAGTAGCCAAGACCACCTGGGCTACGAGCACCGTATGGACTCGTGGCAGAAGCATAGCCGGAAGACGAGTACTCTGTGGCAAATCCAGAGGGGGTTGCTGAGCCGCCACTCTGGATCGGGGAAAATGAAGCACCATAATCGGGGGTTCCAAGATAGCCACCCTCATTGAGTGGAGATCCAGAGTCGTAAGGGGTGGCGGCTCCTCCATCGGCGCCTTTAACAGCTAGACCAGGCATTAGACCCATCCGACCATTATCAAAAATGACAGTTTCCAGCATCTTTGGGTCTAGAAGTACGTCAAGTTCTCCGGTACCCATAGGCGCTAGCTGACCAAGCATAACATTTTCGGAAATACCTCGACAATCGTCCAACTCACCAACAGCAGCCGCTTCGAGGAGAATTTCTACAGTTTCTTCGAACGAACATCTCATTAGTGCACCGGTATCTGCACGATTAATACCGTGACGGGTGATTGCCATAAGGTGACCGCGAGACGTCATGACGTCGACCAAAAGCGCTAAATGTCGATGATTAACGTAAGAGCCATCGAAGGCTAGCACCTGTGTCAATTCACGCATTAATGCAGAGCGTGTGGCTTCTATTCCGAAGACTTCAAAAATCTGGATGAAATGATTTGAGTATGTGCGAGTCGTATCAACTCCAGGAACAGTCAATACTTGAGCTAGAGCAGTTCCACTCGTGTCGAGATACCACTCTTGGCAACGATCATCAGTCTTACTTGCTAAAAGTCCACCCTCTGGAGTGGTGATAAGCTTTGTCTCTTTATTTAAGAAGGCTCTTTCAATACCAGGTACACCTCTGAGTGTCAAAGTATCGAGTATATGTGCCTCTAAACGTTTTAACATGATGTCTTCTTCAATCTCATCGTCATCATACTTGGGATCATGCTGCTTGATCATTCGTATTCGAATAACCTGTTCTTCAGCATTATTATCACTAAAAATGACAGCTAGATCCTTAGGATAATTCTCTTTGATCTTGATGGCAACATCTTCAACCCTTAATCCTTTGTCCAACATTTTCTGACGATCAAGAGTCAGACGTAGAAGCCACCTTGATTGATTCTCTGGTGCGTCGTGATGTTCTTCTGGGATAATAAAGTATGACTCGACCATATCAATATCGTCAGGGATTGTCGTGGATTGAATATCTGGATCATGATAGATTTCAGTAGCTTGAGTAACAGAACGTAGATTAGTGTGCTCAACAGCACTTCTCAAAATCTTCGCAGTTTCTTGAGTGGCGCCATCTTCTTGGTAAACAACCATGGAAGGTGTCTTGATGTTTGTTGCAACATTGAGAATTTCCTTTAGCCTCGGAACACCGAGAGTGACATTTTTCGATGAGACTCCGGCAAAATGAAAAGTGTTTAAAGTCATCTGGGTCGCAGGTTCACCGATGGATTGAGCGGCAAGAACTCCGACCATCTCTCCTGGATTCACAAGAGCTCTGGTAAAGCGATCTCTGATCTCTCCTAGAATGTGATCAAATGCCAATTTATTGAGACGCATCTGAAGCGCAACACGCTTAAATGCAAGACGAGATCGTAATTGAGCCTTGATCAATAAAGTGGCGTTTTCCTGCGCTTCTAGTGACAAAGGGTCACTGCCCCGGACGATAACCATGTTATCCAGAAGTTCCTTCACACGTGGAATTACATCCGTTGGATGAAGGTCACTTCTTTGGACATCATCAACTTTAAAGAGTCGTTTCGAACTATCAATAATACGAATAACATTCATAGGTAGTTGCATCATTTCATCATCTTTTTTCTTGAAGTTAACGTCCCGAAGCATTAAACGATCTTTGTTGAGCTGTTCCCATTCTTCATCAAGAAGTTCTTGTACTGCAAGATCACCCGATAGTGAGCTTGCATGTTCTAAGAGTTCTGAGGAGATGGTGTGCTTTTCGTCCATCACGTCTAGCCGGTAACGATCCGCAAACTTTTTGTCATCCATATTAATGTGGTCTACCTTCTGTTTCTCAATATGTACTCCATCAAGTCCATCTTCGCCGTATACAAATTGCACAATATCACCGAGAGAATTCCTGACTGTTCCATCGTATTTTGCCATCACATCTTCGAGAGCTTTGACGAGACGACGCTGTATGTAACCGGTTTCAGCAGTTTTTACAGCAGTGTCAATTAAACCCTCTCGACCAGCCATTGCATGGAAGAAAAATTCTGTTGGAGTAAGTCCACGTAGATAAGAGTTCTCAACAAAGCCACGAGACTCAGGGGAATAATCATCTTTTGTAAAATGTGGCAAGGTGCGATATTTAAAACCAAACGGTATTCGTTTTCCTTCCACTGACTGCTGTCCTACAAGCGCAGTCATTTGAGATATGTTGATAGTTGAGCCTTTGGAGCCGGAACGAGCCATTTGGACCGCGTTATTGAGATCCTTAAGACTCTGCTCCGTCTTCGTACCAGCCTTGTCTCTGGCAGTATTGAGAGCTTTGGATACCTGTGATTCGAAAGTTTCTCGTACATTCATACCTGGTAAAGATTCAAGTTCGTTTGCGGTGGCTTTTGCTGTAAGATCTGCGACCTCGTCTTTCTGCACTGATATCGCTTCTTCAATTTTGGCAATAGTTGCTTTATCCGGGATAGTATCACCTATGCCAATGCTAAATCCGTTGTGGAGAAGCCAATAGTTTACAACCCTTTGACATCCATTAAAAAACGCCATCGCAGCAGCTGGACCCTGCTCATTAAAGATAATATGAATTATTCCACCACCAGTAGCTCCAACGTTCTTCTTGGTCAAGAGACCAAACATCAAGTCACCCTCATGTACTAGAACACCATCATCTTTCAATGGTGAATCTTCACGGGCATCGTTGGGCATATTAAGATTCACAATCTTTGGGATGACCATACTGATAATCTGTTTTCCAGTCCACCTTGGTCGAGGCTTGAGTATAGCAGGCTGTGGGATAACGCCATCCCATTCAGGAACCCATAATAAAATATTCATCAGATGTTCTTTTGGAATAAAAACGTCTCGGCGACACATCTTGTAGACTCCAGCCAGCGTATCCTGGACAATACCCATGAGAGGACCATTACGTTGAGGAGAGACAATATTAAGGGGGACCATGCATAGATTCATAACTTCTGCACGAGTCTCTTCAGTTTGAGGAACGTGTAAATTCATCTCATCGCCGTCAAAATCCGCATTATAAGGTGAGGTGACTGATAAATTAAGTCTGAAAGTCGAGTAAGGCATGACGCGAACTCTGTGACCCATCATTGATTCCTTGTGGAGAGATGGCTGACGATTAAATATAATAAAGTCACCATCAACTATATGCCTTTCAACCTTCCATCCATACTCTAGAGATATTGCGCCAGCCCGCTTGTGGTGCCTTAGATCAATCCGAGTTCCATCTCCCCTGATAACATATTTGGCGCCAGGATGTTCGTTGGGGCCATTTTGAACTAGCTGATGCAGTTTGCCAATGTTGTAGGGTGTTACCGTTTCGGGATATGTGAGCGTACGTGCAATACTTCTGGGCACACCAACCTCATCGAGTGATAAATTGGGATCACCAGTGATAACAGTTCGAGCGGAAAAGTCAACACGCTTGCCCATCAAATTACCACGAAGACGTCCTTCTTTTCCCTTTAGACGAGCCCTAATTGATTTCACCGGTCGACCAGATTTCTGCAAGGCTTGTGGCTGGCCAGCGATATCATTATCCATGTAAGTAGCTACATGATACTGTAATAGGGCCTCAAAGTCTTGCAGAATGTGTGCAGGGGAGCCTTCTTGTTGTGCCTGTCGAACATTACCGTTAGCACGAATTATATCACCTAGTTTATAAGTCAAATCATCTTCTCCGCGCATTCCTTGGCTTGTGCCATCCATCGAAATACTGGGGCGAACTGGCGGAGGAGGAACGGGAAGAACGGTAATAATCATCCACTCTGGTCGCGCGTAGTCAATATTTAAACCGAGGTCCCGGATTTCGGAGACGGAAATCCCTCTAAAAACATTCAGCGCCATTTCAGGTGTAATGGGTCTCTTCTCAGCTGTTGCGCCGTCATTTTCCTCATCTTTTGGAAGTTTCCAAGTTCCCATGAGTTGAAGGGCGGTCTGGCGGACTTCAGGCTGCGTATTGCCACATCCACCGTGTCTTTTCTTTTCAGCTTCTTTTGGATCTTCGCTAAACTCGGTGTCAGTTGCACTAGTGTCGCAGATCATTTTGGGCTTGCACAGTCGCCATATTGTATCAAATCGGCGTTTTGGGTCTCGAATATTAACCGCCGCTCTATACTGCTCATTACTCTGAGTTTGGATGTTAGCATAACTGGACTAGTATTTTAGCCGCATCGCTTAGGCAGACTAACTCTGTCAAGCAATACTCTACTACAATTATGGCAGACCATTTCTAATAGCTTTTTAATCTTCTTGATGAACCCAGGGTGAAAGACTGGTTTGGCTAGTTCAATGTGTCCAAAGTGACCCGGACATTCTGACATATTCTGGTCACAGGTTGAACACTTAAACTGTCGATCGATCGATCCGAGTCGAGGATCATTCAATCCTGATTCTCGAGGCTTCATTCTACTATCATCCATTGTTTCCGGATATAAAACGTGGCAAACACTCATATTCTTTATCTCTTCCGGCGAGAGTAGGCCAAATTGAATTTCCTGAATGATCCTCAAGGGCGCATCAGAATGTGCGAATAATAAATTCGCCATGATGAAGTAGGTTGCTTTCGGCGAGACGATAACGAAGCTAAAGTGTAGAAAATGGAAGTATCGAGGAAGTCAAGATTAAGTCGAGCCTTTGCTTTAATACACAATATGAATTTTCGGATAGAAGTTGCAAATTCGATAAACTGATGAGATATGTGAGATAAAGAGAAGCTGTTGCAACGACGCAAATAGCAGCCAGGACCGGCAGCTAAGGTTGTCGTTAGGTTTAACCTGTTGTTAGAATGCTGGATAGGCGATTTGGGATCTGTAGTTTCGATATTAGGGTCCTTCTCGCGAGAAACAAAATACAAGAGGAATGCACGACAGGCGACGCGCAATTCCTGCGAATAAAATGTGATGTTGTTAATTAAAATCGCGTGTGAGAGTGGTATTGAAGGCTTTGCTTTGTTTGGCCTTTTTAATCGAGACTAGCTTAATGGGGTCTAGCGTATTTTCACAATGTATATTATTTCCTCAAAGCTCAACTGCTATACATATCCTGATATCAAGGTTGTACGTCTCACAGGGGCGCTCAACGAATCAAGGGTATATTATTTCCTTTGTGCCGAGCCTCTGTCAGAAAAATAACCATTCTACGAATTTTATACACGATAGCGATCGTGAGGGCTGGCACCAGCACGCACTTATTTATCACCCTGCCTTGCAAATATTTTTGACACCCATCGTCTTAACATAAAGTTCGAACAGCTGAAGATTTTTGTCATCTTTGTCTGACTGTCAGAAATATCCCGTGTTCTTCTCTATGTTGGTCTCATTACTCACTGAGGCACTCCAAAAAGTCAATAACAGATACAGGAATATGCTCAATCCTTCTCATCTAATGGATGCTCTACTTCAATAGCCGAAGAAACGAACTTGAGTGTAACTTAGCCAAACCCAACGGCATCATAAACTCGAACGGCAACAAATCACCACGAACAAAAATCGTTGACATACTTGGCCTTCATTTCAACCAAAACATTTTCTGAAAGCTGGGGTAACGGAGCATCGGTAACAAGATCTTCTTTGCGTGTTCTGCTTCCACGACCAGGGGTACATCAGTGACGGTGCAAGAACGAGGCTGAATAATATTCAAGCTTTTCATATAAATATATTGGCCAAAAAATGCACATAATATAACGGGAAGCTGGAAGGAAAATATACCATAAAGTTCTCGATGGGAAACTAGACGAGGCCTCTAATAAAAAAACAACTCCTAAATTAGATGTGGAGACGCCAGAACGAAGTATGACTGAAACTGAACGAAATTGAAAAGGTGAAGACTGTGAGAGTGACAAGGGATCAGGCATACTAGGCCGTGGTTAAGGTCAGATTTGCGCTTTAGCGTGTCAAAATTAGATTATCTGGACGGTTGGACTTAGCATGAACCAAGACATAGGTAAAATTTGATATGTGATGAAGCTTTTGTGCCCAAAGGTAGTTAACTAACTTTGCCGGGTCCCGCTCGTATTTAAGTTCCAAAAGTTTTGCGGAGTCTTCAAATTGCCCAGCATTTTAAATCCCCAAATTCACCGTTGCTCACACAGTTCCTAGACATTCAATTATTCGAATTTACTCCAATTCCCCATCTCCTTTACTGTTATCATCTTTCAGAAAAATTTTCATATACATGTGCCACCGTAAGCTATTGAGATGTCTGCGGCTCATAATAGACCTCTGTGAGCAAAGCCAAGAATTAATCTCCACTATGACGAAGCAATAGTGGCCAAGCCAAGGAACAGTTTCCAGCCACACGACAGAAGCAGAAATGGCGCGCCCTAGAAGGTGCAAAATGAAGAAGGGTAATGCCACACAGCACTGGGTTTCCCTTTAAAACTCTATGCTGTGGTGATAATTGAAGAATTTCTAAAAGTATAAATGAGTGCATAAGTCTCAATTTTCTCGACAGCTACCAGCAGCATTTTTTTTATTTTTTTTAATCATTAAGTGTATGCAGCGTAACTAGCCATGACACTACATACATATATATCCTTCTCACCTAGACATCATCTTAAACCACCATTTTATGTACATTACAACAGTGAGAAATTCTTGATAAGTAAACATTGATTAATTAGTTGGTTGATTTCTATCTTCCTCATCCCTACCCCTAGAAGGCTGCCAGTTGTTGAAAGATATTTTAGAAGCGAAGTTTTCCCCACATTTGTGTTGAATAAGATTGGATGTGTGAATGGTGAAAGGTTTTTGAACTCTTTTCTCCTCTGTTTCTTGAAGAATGAACAGTAAGGTATTAAATGTTCAATTGTTTGAACACTTTTTGTGCAGTAATTGCAGATATTAGTATAGCTTTTCCCAATCTTATTCATATATGCCAGATGGCTTCCTATGCCTGTTCTAGCTTGAATATATGCTGACTGGGTTTTTCGAGAAAATTTGGTCATGTTGAATGGTTTAAATTTGAAGTTGGGTATGTGGCATTTAGCCTGGGCTCTATATAGTTTGCCCAGTCCTATTGCTCTTTTCCCTTCTTCTTCACGTTGTAGTTGTGATGTCCAGTCTTGAGACTAGGCATCCCTAATGGATAGTCTCAACTCTTGTTTAAGGAAGCTGAGTGTTGTAAAGAGATGTTTTTTAATTGGCTTTTCATTTGCAGCTCTTCTTGCTAGAGAGTCAGCTAGCTCACTATATCAGCAGCATTGAGGCAACCCTCACACCACTCTCGGAAGGTGTACAAAAAAGTGTTGTTAACTCTATGAAAGTTTATTTACGACCTACAAATACTCAGTTCTTAAAGCCTATTCAAGCTCTTCTCCCTTAACTAGACAACCTCCCTGTGAGCACTCCTGGGCAAAGGATTACCAGCTCTTAAACTGTCCCAGCCAAGCCTACAGAGATGATCTAGGTCTTTGTGGCCTGAAGCTTAGTACGCCAAGATAAAGTCCCAGAAACAAAAGCTATAGCACAACCGCTATCACATCACCCGAGAATGACGTTACTTGCCCTAGCATTAAGTAGACAAATTATTTTTAGAATGATGCTTCGAAGGCTGTAATCACCAAATTACTACTACTAAGCTTCTATGGTAGCTATAACTAGCGTCAGCACCTCCATGCTGGAATTTACACATAGTGACCGGGCTGCTCAACTAAGCGTCGATAGATACCAACTCGTTTTATTGGATTAGAACTTGTTGGAAATTCTGACTCTCGAATTTAGGACTCACTCGTTATCCCTCTGTCTGAGGTTTCCAACATGATAGACTCCCTCTACATATGTCTCGAGTACGCTTATCACACCTAATGTTGGACATAAGCTTGGATATTTAAGTACTGCAGTTTACCTTCACTCTTATTTTTTTTGCATCAAGTTTTCATTACGTATGCAGCTTTCTGGCTATGACGCAATATCAAATAAAACGTACATAATTGATGACTTCATATATAAGAGCACTCATACCTTATATTTCATTCGCAAGTACCATTGTGAAGTTATGGCGGCTTTTTCTTCACCCCAAGTCAACTCTCATCTGTGAATACCTACCCAGGGAAACATTTCAAAACTGCTGAGCTATCCAGATATGCCTCCATCACTCTTTAATTCACATCACGCGAAATATGGCCTGATACGTCTCCTTCCCAAGTAGAGTAGGTGCCCAGGCTACTCAGACTATACCGGAGAACACCAACAGGAGGTAGACCACGGCACCTTCCATCGTTTGCTTATGTTTATAGTGTCAGCTGCACTCTCGCAACCGAAGCATTGGCGCGCACAGAGCTCAATTCGTGAAACTCCTTGCCAAAATTCAAAATCACATGCCATTCGAGATTGTATCCACCATACGTATCGTCTCATGAACTTGTTCTCATGCCTCTCGCGTTCATCCCAAAGAACTGTCTCCCAGATTTGTACGTCAGGCTGTGCTTCCTCCTTCAAGTATAAATATCGGCGTGGGCGTGAATTTGGTGGCCAGCTTAGGCCAGAGAAGAATCGATGAGAAATGTGGTCATTGCAACGAGGGTGTACTTGGTCGTACTTGTAAACTTGATCAGGTGTTGATGGGAATCGATTTCGTTGGGTGGGAGAGTTTGATTTCGTAGAGAGTCTTAGATCATTTCCTCGTCGGCCAACTTCTTCGGGAATCCGTAAATTTGTCTGAAATTTGCTCTGAAAGAAAATTTCATTACTAGGTTCGTAGAAGATAGTGCGTAGATGTGTTCAATCCTTGCCCTCTTATCTTTGATTTTGTGTCATAGCTAGAGAACTACATACGTAATTAAAATGTGATGCAAAAAATAGGTCTTTCAAATGTGCTTATGTAAGGTGATCGTCAGAGCACACTTTGTGTCAGTACGAGCCAGATGACTTCGTGTATGATGTTTTATTGTTCTAAATGAGTTTATGACTACCTAGCACATTGGGCTCCTCTCTGGCCCAGGCCACACCTTGTACAGTGCTCCTTGCCTCTCATATTTCTTGAAAGATCATTGATATACTGCCCGTGATGAATAGCCATTCAGCTCAGTGTTTACCCGTGGAATTCGGCCACCTTTTCCACGGAACCTTCTACCCAAAAAAAATAAAAATGGTAGCAATGGAAACTGCGTGCGCCGGAAAAAGTCTCAAAAAACCTGCAGCCATAGCCAGGCGAGGCCTCGTCACCGGGACCACATGAGGTGCGCATATTCATCTATATCTCCCTTCTTTGTACCATTCGAGGCCATCTTGATCTAATCCACCATCTCCGTATCGGGTGCTGAGTATGCTCTGGAAACTCATCGGATGGCATCTCCTCCATGATCAAGGGTTGATGATGAGTAGGGCTCCGACCCTACCATCTAATCTGATCGTGGTATGCTTCATGACAATGGTTATAGGAGAATGTGTTGAGAGATGAAGACGATACAGACGGCGAAAGCGATTGGGAATCCTCGTCGAAGTGAGGACTTTGTTACTCAATCTCGGGTCTGCAGACTCTACAGTGAGAGCTGGAGGTTCGTAGGGGACACCACTGACAGGTGTTGAGAGTAGCCTACCTAATATTGATAGTTTAGGGTCCGATTGTATGTTTTTCCAAGAGACACAATGTAAGCCATGCTTTCTAATTACTTAAAGCTCTCAGGTGCCACGAAATTCAAAGAAAACTTAGATCTAATACAAAAGATATTGCAAACGAATAAGCAATCTTGAAAGAACTCTATGGTGAGGTAAATGTTGGATTTTTTGTTCTTGAAATTTGTCCTCATTCGGGATATGTATAAATACTGGTGTACGATTCACAAATGCGGTTCAATTGAATTCATGAATGTTCCGACCAATTGTATTATTAAATGAAGTATAATGAGATTTTTATTTTTAAATATGCTTCTCTAAGGCTCGAGGGATTATTGTGCGAGGAAGAGTTAAAGAGTGTGATGAAATTCGTTACGTAATTTTCCTTTCTAATCTCACTCAACCAGTGGACTTCACCAGGATAAGGCTCAAATACCCGTTGAAATCCAAAATTTAACCCTTTCTAGAGTCGTGAACTTTAAAGCTTCTGCATCAAGTTTTTTTATCGAAAGGCTAGTTAATGTAAAACTTCATTTTGAGCTCGAGGAAGTCTCAAATTGGATAAATTAGAGAATATGATGACACAAATATAGCTATATCATGTCTAGCAAATATTTGAAGTTTGATGATTAATTACACCTTCAGCACTGTGTTCAAACTCTAGATTTTTTGGAACGATTGCATCTGAAATGCTGATCGTTGACTTCGGGTCTTTAGCTATTGTATTGTTTAAATATTGTTTTAATCTACATTATTCAATTTATCTTGATGTAAAGAGTTTCAGTTTTGACGGGTCCTCTCTAAGATATCGGTGCCAGCTTCGCGGGCGAGCTAAATCACTGGTTTATCATAGCAGACACGACCTGTAGGTTATTGGGTTCAATCCCTTCTTTAGCCATAAATTGAGTACCTCGTGTAATCATCACAGCCTTAATTTAATTTGCACCACTCTATAATTAGATCTTGATTGAAGGTTTAACGCTTTTTATTCCTTGGCTTCTTTCTCACTTCTTCAAGATCACCTACTTCAGATTCGAGTCCATAATCGCGGCTATCAGTAGCGTCTTTTCTCCTCATCTCACCTCTTCCAACAGCAATAAATTCTTCTTCAGCTTCGCTATCAATTAGGTCTAATTGCACAGGCATCCTCCATGCACTTTCGTCGCGAGCAACTCCCTTCATGGGGCCCATAGTTAGGACATCAACATCCTCATCTTCGAGATCCAATCTTCTCTTGTGAATTTCTTCCTGTGGGTGAATATCAAATTCATCTTCTCTTTCTGTATACTCAACATTTTCTTCTACTTCAACAAAATCCGGGGCTAGAGCTGACCATCTCTGTTGAGGCACAATAGACCACGTATGAATGCGTCCAGTTTCAAGACCGCATGCCACTATTAGAGGCTTATTAGGGTGCCACTCAACCACGCCATGCTCTTCCTTTGGTCCCTCCAAAATCTTAACTAGAGACCCATGATTCCGTTCCCAAATGTAGATATCGTGATTGTTGTACGCACTTGCTGTAACGTATTCTCCCGTTGCGCTAAAAGCTACATGATTCCATGACAGCTTGTTAACAACATCCTGAAACTTGTGCTCTATCTCAATATCAATTGTGTCAGGGTCAAGATCGGGTCCAGAAAGGCTAGGCAGCTGGATTGTTCGAATAATACGATCCTGACAATTAACCACTAGATCACGGCCTGAGCCTGTGAGTCTCATGAAGATGACAACCCCTGCGCATATTTTGGTCGAATAAATGATAGTTCGAGTGATGGTATCGATAATATTGAGCCAGCCTTTATTCGTACCCGTTAATATATGTTCACCAGAGCAAGTAAAGGTTGCAACCGTAGTAGTTTGTTTGGCATTCTGTGCAGCACGCCTGTGGCCAAGATTTGTGTTGGCGTTATATTTCGTTTGTTTCGGAATAGAAGGAAGGGCCATTTTAATTACCTCTGAATCTGTGGCATCGACGAGCATTGGTTGATCTTCAAAGAGAGCGACGACAAATGTCAAGCTAGAATTGAATTACTAACCATTTTCTTGTGCCACGTTTATACGTACTGACTCTGTGGATGAAAGTCTGCGATGTAGACTGGTGCCTCAAACCTAACGCTTCGGATTATATCCATGGTTTGAAGGTCCCAGATATTGCACTTCCAATCCTGACTACTGGTAAGAAGGTACCTGCCGTTCTGTGACCAGCTCAATGATTGGACCTGTCGCACATGGCCCTTGAGCTTCCTTGCCACCCCATTTGTCTCAACGTCAAATATGACGACGGTGCCATCCACTCGTCCTGCTGCCAAAAAGTCACCCTTACGACTGAAACGTACACAGCATGTGTGACCACTGCGTAGACTTCCTATCAGAGACTCTGGATAGTCTTGGGCAAGGACGAAAGGATCAACGAGGGCGAGATTCATTTTGAAGAGACTTAACTGAAATTAGATGAAGTTCAAACAGCTTTGCCAGTAAACCGAAGCAGTTTAAATAATTCGAGATTTGTGTGAAAGAGCAAATTTTTCTGCCATAGAGATTTTTCCAAATATTAAATGTAGAGGACATTGAGCGACCACAATAGTGGGCGTACTGTATAACTTGTTTGAACTTGAAATCTATTTTGTGTCCCCTGAAACATGGGGCAGTGATGTTACTGGCATTTCTTGTTCATGGTAATCTCTTGTTCGTTAAAGTGTCAGCAGTGTTCAGTCGGGGTCTCCTGTGATGAGAATGCACTTGCTGTCGGCGGCAACTTAGTTTGATTTGCTACACTAGTTGTTGGTATTAAAGAACGTGACAACCTGCAGATGACGTTTTCTGCTTTGGAGCTACTTTCATGTAGATTGTGGTTCCATGGTAGCCGCTACCCCTGGTCTCCACCGTGGAGCCCAAATCAAGCTAATACCTAGAAGCCTAAGGCATACATGGGCTCTCTACTCTTTCCACATCAGATTTTACATGGGTATGCAGTGTCAAGGGATGGAGTGGATTGCGATATCGTATGGTCGCTTGCTATCTCACGTGTAATGCTCGACCCACGATGTATACATATTTATGAGACTCGATAAGAGTCACTATTCCTCTTTGTAGATAATCTCAATCACCAGATTAGACCTCGTCAATCTATCCTATGACCTTTACCCTTACATACAGCGATCCAGCAACTAAAAGATTTCAAAAAAGAGTATATGATGATGACTCAATTTGAAAGAATAGCATTTATGCCTCGGATTTCATTCGTAAATTTCACTGCAAAGTTATGGTGGCTTTTTCTTCACCCCAAGTCAACCCTCATCCGTGAATACCCGCCCAGGGAGACGTCTCAAAAACCCTGAGTTATCCAGACATACCTTCATCGTCTTTGAACTTTTCTCCGCGCGAAATATGGTCTGAAGTGTCTCCTTCCCAAGTGAAGTAGGTGCCCAGGCTACTCAGACTATACCGGAGAACACTACCAGGAGGCGGATCACAACACCTTCCATCGTTTGCTTGTTTTTATAGTGTCAGCCGCACTCTCGCAAGCAGAGTCTTGGCACGCACAAAGCTCAATTTGTAAAAACTCCTTGCCAAAATTCGGAATCTCACGCCCTTCGAGGTTATAACCATCCGTCGCATCATCTTGTCAACTTGTCCTGATCCCTCTCACGTCCATCCCAAAGAACTGTTTTCCAGATTTGTGCGCCACACTTTGCTTCCTCCGTCGGGTATAAATATCGGCGTGGGCGTGTATTTGGTGGTCAACTGAGACCAGAGAAGGTCGAAGAGAGGTGAGTTCATTGGAATGAGGATGTACTAGGTCGTACTTGTAGGCTTGATGAGGCTTGGGTAGGATTCGAACTCGTTTGGAGTGAAAGATTGACGTAGTGGAGTCTTTTTGAATCTTTGCCTCGTGTGCCAACTTCTTTGATATTGCAAAGTTTGACTGAGCTTGGCTCTGGGAGAATATTTAACTCCCAGGTTGTTTTTTTTTTTTTTTTTTAAATCATTTAAGTGTAATCAGCTATGGAGCTATGACACATGACCGGTGCTATGTATACATGTGGGATGACTCTTTTGACGTTAGAGACACTCATACTCTGGATTTCATTCGCAAATACCGCTATGAGGTATGCTTGCTTACACAAACAGTCAACCCTCCTCCGCAAGTGCCCACCAAAGGGAATTTCGAAACCTTTGGTTATCCAAGCATGCCTTCGTCATCCATGTAAACTTGCACCACGAGAAATGTGGTTGTGTTTTGCCGGATTTGAACCAGCGATCTACTGTCTCAAGTGGGATATGTGTTCAAGCTATCCAGACTCTACTTGGCAGACCGGCCAAGATGATGTACCAGCGCACCATCCAACCATGGCGGTGTTTATAGTGTCGCCCGCACTCTCGCAACCGAAGTCTTGGCACGCACAAAGCTCAATTTATGAAAACTCCATACCAAACTTCAAAACTCCACGCCCGTCGAGATTGTATTCATCCTTCGCATCATCTTGTGAACTTGTCCTAATCCCTCTCACGTCCATCCGAAAGAACTGTCTCCTAGATTTGTGCGCCATGCTTTGTGTCCTCCGTCGGGTATAAATATCGGCGTGGGCGTATATTTGGTGACCGGCTGAGGCCAGAGAAAGTCGATGAGAAGTGTGATCTTTGGAATGAGGATGTTCTTGGTCGTACTTGTAGACTTGATGAGGCTTAGGTTGGAGAAGGACTCTTTGGGAGTAAAAATTTGACGAGTAATTTAAGTCATTGCCTCGAGGGCCAACTTCTTTGGTATTTCGAAATTTGACTGAACTTGGCTCTGGGAGAATATATCACTCCCAGGTTCGTGGAGGACACCGCGTACAGGTGTTCAGTCTTGCCCTCCAGGACCAGCATATGCTGTTTACTATCAGACTGAAAAGGATGAACAAAATAGAAAGGACTGAATGGAAAGTAAGATTTTCGATGCAACTCGTTCATGGAAAATGGATCAAAAAACTGGCAAGGATTATGGCATTCAGTCAGGGATGCATAGATTTTGTTCAGTCATGTAACCTTCCAACTAACCGAATTGAGCAGTAGAAGTAGTGAGTCCCTCAGCTGCGCATATCCGTGCAAAGCTACTAGATTGTAGCAATGGACTAAGGTATAAAGCTAACCAAAGCAAGTGAATTTTTATGACGAAGAACGTAGATAAAGAGAATCCAGATATTTCACAAATTTGAATACGTATAAAATATGATAAAAAATTCGGGAGATCGCCCCATCTGTCTGTGCTGGGATCGGCAGAGCGGAGTTAAGATTTACTCCGAATGATTTTCATGTGATAGACTGCACCAGCATTACAGTTTGATATACCTCATAGTTACTGAGATTTACATTAAAAAACAGCTTATAATAACTTAAAGGACTAAATCCAGTTTCCAACCAATGATCAAAACCTCAAAGTAGTGAAAGATATCTTGTTAAGGCTAAGAGGCTTTCAAAACTTGAATAGATTAAAAATTGTGCTGAAAAGAGAAAATCAAGGGTAAGAAAAATTGCATGCCTATGCGGTGCAACCGAGAACAACTAGCTTTGTAGTTACAAATGTAACTGATTCATTACTGATCGACAGTAACGCTAAGAAGGTATGGATTGGTCTGGCATACCCGTAACATGGCATCCTCGGAGTTTATGCTAGGAGACTGAAAGTCAGTATCCTTACATACACCACCAGTAATATGCTAAGAAGATATCCTGTCAATTTACATGAAATAAGCTTCATAGGTGATGATCTTTGACCCATAAGACCTTGCATTTCTGGTAACGTTTGCATTGCAATATATTCATAATGGTCTCTTTCACCGTGTTGTTTTTTATCTCATTACATTTAAGATACTCGCACGAAGGCTATAGATGAGGAGAGTGTTAGCCTTATCGGTTCGTAGTCAAGGAAATCAGAGCAATGGGACTTGGGAAGTGAAAGGGTGAAAGCTACGAGAAAAGGTTGAGGGGACTGACAGGCATCGATTTGCAAAACTTGTGGTAGTGCTAGCTTGACCTTGTTCCGGTATACAGCCGGACCCTTCAATTGTAATGGATTGCCCTCGAAATATACTGTTATCAGTTCATTCTTGTCACCAAGAATACGCTCTACTTCGGCAAAGTTATGTAACTGATTGTAAGATGCCCAGAGCTCCTGTAGATGTACCAAGTGACTGAGACCTTCAAGTGAGGTAATTCTATTATTTGATATGTCCAGTACCCGGAGCGAAGAGCAGGCTTCGAGACCTGAGAGGTTCGTGAGGGCGTTGTGGGATATGTAGAGTTCTTCCAACCCTGTCTGACACATAAGGCCGCTGATATTTGTAATACGATTGGATTGAATCGATATGATTTTCAGGTTCTGGAGAGTATCTATACCCGATATTTCTGTGATCTTATTCTTACCCAGCCACAACTCTTCCAAACCAACAAGAGTTTCGAGGCCTTGTATCTTTCGAATACGGTTCGCTGCAAGCTCAAGGTTGCGTAGTTTCGTAAGCCCGGAAAGATTTTCAATCAAGCTTATTTTATTTTGTACAAAGTAGAGGTCTGTGAGGGAGATAAGATGAGATATATTTTTGATATGCTTGATCTTATTGAAAGAAAGATCAAGGGACTCAAGTTTAAGGAGGTCTTCAAGATTTCGGATATGGGATATGAGATTGTCGTAAAGATCTAATTCAGTGAGTGTGTTGGCTAACAAAGATAGGCCTTCAATTTGGGTGATGGAGTTCTGGCGGAGACATAGTCGCACGACATCCTTGAACCGTTCCAATCTGAGAGCAGCTATGGAAGATATTCTTGAGTGAGTACAATCAATTTCCGTAGTATCAAGAGGATAATCATCGAGTAGATCAAAGGAAAGTTAGCCCTTCTTGCTCTTCGTCGGGTGCCTATCTACATACCCTCATCGGCCTCTATGATTTGTCCTATCGGTGCTACCTCGTCTTCTGATTGCTCTACATCAGAGGAAGCTTGAGGATTTACTAGCTCTAGCTTCTTCTCTTTTCGTAGCTTGCCATCCCATCCACTGCTGCTCCGAGGGGTAGATGGATTGTCATGGCCATAAACATCCTCGCCACTGATTGAAATACGTGGCGCTGATGTTTTGTTTTCTAGAGAAAATTCAACCTTTTCAGAGGCCATATTTTTGTACGTTGAAGAATATTATGGTTGAAGTTGATGTAGGTCCCTAGCCCATTACACTGGCTAGGCTGGAGTTCTCTAGTTGAGTCGGAACGGTGGGCCGAATATGTTCAGGGTTGTTCGACGCGGCCAAATTGATCTAGGATCGTCCTCAAAGACGCCAACGCAACTTGCATTTAAGTTATATGTCTTTCACTTATAAATAATGCTCCAAATTTTAAACGATGTACTCCATCAGACATTAAATTCTACAAATAGTCTTTACAAACGGGTGAACTGGCTATCAACTCATCCTGTAATTTCACCACATTGTCTCATTTGTATCTAACCATAATTGAATAATCTGGAAGATTTGACCAACAAACACGCTTAGATTACAGATAACAGGCATCAATCAAAGTGAATGAAATTTTATTCATGACGTGCACAAGCCTAGCACTCATTAATCATGATATAGAGAAGGCTAGCTTTAATAAAAGTGAAATTAGAAGCAATATTATTTTCAGTCTCATCGACACGTTCAGTTAATTCTAACTATGTACCACGATTCTTTTGCTCTAGAATGCATGGTTTCGAGAGACTTGATGAGTTTGATGTATTTGCGAAGGAGAAATTTTCCATCCAAATGCGAAGAGCAGTTTAATCATCTTTTGCGACACATCATGGGATTGACGTCGGATATTGACTTTCAGCCTACTTGATATCACCAAAACCTATGTTAGATAATTGGCCTGAAGAAGTTTTCTTTCATAATATAGTCATTAATGCACTGCGAGTAACTTCATTATCTCTCTAGCCTCAGCAATCTCTCCTGAATAGTTCAATGAGAAACTCGGTAGAGTAGCCACGATTTACTATTTTGAAGCATGATGCATTCCGTTTCAAAAATTCGATAAAGTGTCTACGTCAGCAGCAGCTAAGACTCACACTACCCTAGAAGCTGCAGCTAAATGCAGCCTTCTGAAAGGTTATCTGATAGGCGGCAGTTACAGCAAGGCAGCATATCATGCCGCTTGCCAGCTCACGTCTGTATATGTATGGATCTGACCCGATCGGCTAAATGTTTAAATCTGTATTTTTACTCTCACTTGCGAATTCTCCTTGCTAGGAACTTGCACAAAATCGTGGTCGCAAGCAACTTGTTTAAGACGCGGGCATTGGAATTTGCACAGGCATGGACGCAGAAGGTCCCAAAACTAAGATTCATTCTAATTCTGTTCTAGACACGAGTTTGCGGATGCATATAGAGAAAACTGTCGCAATCCACAACGGCTACGAGATTACTGATCTGCTACCGGCGCAATCCCAGGAAAGACGGCTGGCACGGACAGTGATCTGCATAGATGCCCGCAATTATGGAGAATATAATTCATTGTGACAGCCTCCTATCTTTCAAAACTGATCGTAATCAGCGATCTTGTACGTAAAAGTTAACTGCTTACGAGAGGCTGAAGTGGGAAGGTATTGCGAGCCAGTTCTGTAGCGCGCGCAGACAACTTATGTCGTGAACAAAGTCTAAACATCTACATGCAGTGTCTTCAATGAACATATGAGTTATACATTATCTCAAAGTCAAGTTCCGTCAAATTTCGCAATACCGAACAATTTGGCCCTCGAGGCAATGATCCAATATTCCTAACCAAATCAAAATTTCAATGCCCACGAGACCGAATACCTCGTAAGCCTCACCAAGCCTGCGAGTAATGCCTGGTACATACTCGTTTCAATGAGGATACCTCTCGTCAAAACACTCTCTGGCATCAAATAACATCCACGTACATGCCCACAAGAATATGAGTACCTGCCGGAGGAAACAAATTGAGGTGCACAAATCTGGGTGGCAGATCTTTGGGATGGGCGTGGGAGAAATCAGGAAAAGTTTGCAAGATGATGCAGAGGAGAGGTACAATCTCGAAAGGTGTGAAGTTAAGAATTTTGGCAAGGAGTTTTACGAGTTGAGCTTTGTGCGTAGAAAGACTTCGGATGCGAGAGTGCGGGAAACACTATAAACACCGTAATGGTTGAATGGTGCGCTGGTACATCACCTTGGCCGGTTTCCCAAATAAGGTCTGGATAGCTTTGACACATATTCCACTTGATACGGGAGACCACTGGTTCTAATCCCGCAAAACACAACGGCTTTTCTCGCGGTGCAAATTTACATGGATGACAAAGGCATGCTTGGATAGTCAGAGGTTTTGAAACGTCCCTTTGGTGGATATTTACGGAGGAGGGTCGACTGTTTGTCTAAGCAAACACACCTCGTAGTGGTATTTGAAAATGAAACTCAGAGTATGAGTGTCTTCAATGTCAAAGGAGTAATCAAATGTGTATATAGCACTAGTAATATGCAATAACTAGATAGCTGAAAACATGTTAACTAACTTAAAAGATAAAAGACGTACGTGAATGCAAGAGGTACCAATTAGCTAGCACATACAAGTTGCATGAAGAGATGCGACGTTTAGATATCTTTGTTCTATTGCTAGACAGCATCATGTGGTTACTCTTTGTTGTTCTTGGTGCTTGTGGTAGACTTAAATCTTTTCTATTTACTAGATTTACCAAAGGAACAAGGTCCTACTTGGTGCGAGCAAACAGTATACTTTAGTTCAGTGCTACATGTATGTTTTTCCCATTTAAAGCGGTAAAAAGCCTGCCTTTACTTATGAATTACTAAGAATACTCGAATTTTGCCGCTTTCGACATTCTTCCGCCATAACTGGGAACTTGAGAATATTTGTGTAGTGAGATTACTCATCTAACCAAAGTAGCTCTAACTCCCTAGATCCCGACTTAAAATAGAGTGCATTTAGGAACAGATGTGTCTACTTTTGGCGAGTCACAAGTTTCATTTTGTCTACGAGATTATGTTTAAGATTCATAAAATTATAATTAATTCTTTTGACTACACTCCGGTTCCAGGAAATGCACCACTACGGCTAAGAACGACAATGCCACGTTCACGGGATATATAACCCTTCATAAGGTTCTACTCGAGAAATGAATTGTTAGTAGGAAGCAATGAACAAACGCAGTTCTGAACGCGCCATGAGGCGTTCAGTCCGATATGTTTGAAGACAAATATGGGCTTACCTTATAAATCATATTCGCAATCAAACATTCAACTTCATCAATATCCATAGGGTCACTATTATCGAGACTAATTGCAGCGGCAAATTCGGCAACTGGAATTCTAGTGCGTCGCATGGGGGGCCCGCTAGTATCTTTAGTTGATTCAAAGCCGGCGGCAATGAAAACTTTGCGTAGTAGATTTCGTAGAGCGATATCCCGTCCTCTTTCTAGTGTCAAATAAATGCGACGTTTAGTGAATTCATTCTCTCCTGATAAGAGAGCTTTATCAAAGCCAGATAGATCCCCACTTTTAATGCAGCGGGATAGGGGGAGAAAAAGCTCCTGAAGGCGAGGATACGGTTGCAATAAAGCACAAGTAGGTAGTGTGTGGGTCGTTAAGAGATGACATGGAATCAAGTACGTTAAGATCAGTCTGGATAAGTTAAAAGTTGAACTTTTCTTCAAGACTGATTGCTTAACTCTTTATTTCGAGTGGAATTTATATGGCACATTTGCCAGGCATGTGTGAGATGCTTTTCAGCCTGTCATGCGTGAGAAAAGTCTACTTCGCGGCGGAATTCGAACCTCTCCGTATGCCTCCTCAAGGAAAGAGATAACACCGACATAGTACTTGAAAGTGACCTGATGAGCCATAGGAAACGCATCAAGTGTTGGCATATCGCCTCGGTAAGCTTGAAGGGCTCTCAAAATATTCCGTGATAGGGTGATCGAGTTCAGCTTAAAATATGTTTTGAATAACAAGTTGATAATGTAATAGATACCCCATTTTCTAGATTCTTCTAATGCTGCTCTATTTTTGTTTTAGGGATAGAAGCTTTTGGTATAATTGGACCTGCTTCACTTACCTGTCTGCGAGGCATACTTGAAAGATTTTGTTAAGGATTCGAGCAGCATCTTCAAGCTTTTCGTGACCCTCGCTGTCAGGATTTAGGGCTATTTCTTGCATTCGGTCAATAGCAACGGCGGATTTAGCAAGACCTTCATCGGCTTTGATAGCAAAAATTCTCATGTACTTGCCTGCCACATACAAGCAAGGCACGGTCCAAGCTTCAAACAAGTTCTTGTCATAGCCCCGTATAAGGATCAAAGTCATCTCTTTCCATGCCTCAAAGACACTCAACCATGACGCCTAGGTACCTGTGAGTAGAAAATATACGTCGGCTTATCGTCCTCAACAATTAAATTACGTGAAAACAAGCCAGTGATTTAGAGTGGTATTATAATTGTGATTTTACCTTCGAATTTGCTGCGATAGCTTTTTCGGCCAATAATATTTCACCGACAGCCTTCCAGTATGCATGGTATACAGATACCCAAGCCTCTCCTTCATCTTTCTGCATCCTAAAGGAGACCTGTCTATCCTGAAGAATCTGATTCCTTAAATCCTGTTCTACATGTTGGAAATTCGTGCTTTTGAAAATAGCTTGAAGTCTATTGACGTTGTGCGAAGGCGCAACAGGAGAAAGCGTTTGAGAAAGCTCGTAACCATTGCCTACGCTGTACGATTTGAGAAACTCCCGTCCAAGTTCTCCGAGGGGCTCCATTGCAGTAATTGATAGTCTTTCCGTCATTTTTGGCTTTTACTTGTGCATTTCCATGGGGATAATCCGTTCAATATTCTGCTGATAACGCTTACAGATTTTAGCTTTCTTGTTTGAAGAACGTCGTATCGAATATTTTGTTCACATTGATTGAAATTGATTTACCTAAGGCTAGCTAATCGAATCTTGACGTCAAAGTTCGGCATCGTCGGACAAGTTGCGACAATATTACTAATCTGGCCATATCGGGATTGGTGTCAGCTAAGCGATTAAGGGCATTGAAAATATAAGCCCTAACGATAGTATGCTTGTCAAATACGATTTCTGGAAGTTATCCGACGCGACAACTAACAATTTCTAGATACGGTAAAATTTCACAGTAAGTACTCACTTCAAAGAGAGAGAATTTGAGCGTGCGCTAACTGGCCTCAGATGGGTAAGTCGTAAATTTCGTCAAAACCATCACTTTTTCCTAGTATTTTACCCTTGCCAGGACATGTCACAACTTACTTGCTCCGCTGCGGTTTTTTAACATCAAATGCTGCCAAAAATATATCAATTCTAGCTGCAAGAGTCTAAAAAAAGACCAACGAATGCAAACCAATTGGCATCAATTAGAGAGCTTTTCTAGAGTTCAACCAAATGTACTCTACCAAAGGTGGTCAGACTTCATAACATTTCAATGTTAAGCACGCTCGTGAGACTAAAATCGACATGTAAACACGACGACCGCTGAAAACCATAAATTTCTTAAACAACGAATAGATTTTAAGGAAATATGCTGAAGATTAGAATAGGTCGTCTCACGGAATACCAGGTTATTGGCCGACACTTGCCTACAGAAACAGCCCCAACTCCAAAATTATATCGGATGAGAATATTCGCTCCAAACTCTGTAGTGGCTAAGTCTCGGTTTTGGTACTTCTTGAAGAAGCTTCGCAAAGTAAAGAAAGCAAACGGTGAGATAGTCAGCCTGAACGTGGTAAGTTAAATAAACAACTCGCCTTTTAACATTCAATTAATACTCGAAACTAGATCAACGAAAAACGTCCTCTCAAAGTCAAAAATTTCGGTATTTGGATCCGCTATGACTCTCGCTCTGGTACCCACAACATGTACAAAGAATACCGTGAGATGTCCCGAACTGATGCAGTTGAGGCTTTGTATCAAGATATGGCTGCGAGGCATCGATCTCGCTTCAGGTCAATTCATGTACGTCCAAAGAACATTTAGTTATCGTTAACCCCATGTCGAATCTACTAACATACATAACAAAAAGATCCTAAAAGTTGTCGAGATTGAGAAGACAGATGATGTAAAGCGACCCTACATCAAACAACTACTTACTAAAGATCTCAAATTCCCCCTTCCCCACCGAATTGCCAAGTCAGCTAGCTCCAAGATATTTGCCAACAAGCGACCATCAACTTTCTATTAGGGCTGGCAAGGAATGTTATGTTGTTTGGGACTTCCGGGTATCAGAACTGCTCCGATAATCTGTCGTCATATGCATACCGGTGGGCGATATGTAATATCCAAACTCAAATTTATTATCAAGAATAGCGTTCGTTTCTACAGTGAATAACGACCACGCTTCAGCTCTCAGTAGCTACCCTTTAATTATTTTATGAAGACAAGGTGTTCGTGAAGTAGTCAGGATCTAAATGATCGAAAATTGGTGCAAAAACTATCGGATTTTCTAGATCCAAATGATCATCTCGTTCTATCGGGGTTATCTCAGATAGCAATGAAGTCATATCTCTTGTATAATTCAATCACTACAACTCTACTCAGAACATTTATTCCTGCCCTTGCTAACAAAGCTACACCAATTTTAGCGCATGTAGCCATTAGAGAAAAACCTGACCAGGCAATCCTTCCACACCCTCTTCGTCAAGTATTGCAGATTGGGGTTTGCACAAAAATCTATGACACATGAAGCACACTATGAACAGAGTGTGAAGGCCTGAGCAGCCTTAATGAAAGCATTTAAAGGATGCTGAATATGCAGCCAACCTGACTTGGAACCCGTCTTTAATTTGCCTCATGGGTGATCCGTGGAGATTTGACGTGATAAATGGAATATTCGCTTCTATGAAATCCTTGTAAAATTGTGAGGCAGAAGCGAAAATTTATATCGCGGAACAAAAATAGAAAAGGCTCCGACCATCGTGGACTTTTTAATATCTATTAAGGAAATAATGAACCCTAAGTCATTGAAGTTGTAGACCGCATTGATTCAAGAAATTACCAAGGTGAAACTAGGTACATAATTTGTAGTCACGTGTGTATCAACAACATGGCCTACTTGATAGTCCCAATTATTCTAAATTCTAACAATATCACCAGCACAAAACACTCTTATATTATCTTCACTTATACATAAACATTCCAATAAACAAACGTCTAGATCTCATAGAAACAAAATCCCACTCTCCTGTAATTCACACTGGCTCCCATAAGAACGACCGACACTCGGGAGAAACCTACTTTAACCCAGGTACTCCACAAAACTCAACTCAAAACAGCATCAAAACCGAAAATTACGAAACCGAATTCCCACCCTTCAGCACGTGCTCAGCCCGCAACGGGCGATGAGACCGCCCAAACCCAGATTAGAATGATGGATCTGGACGATCCCGAAAACAACATTGACATGTGTAGCCCATTCGCTACTTTCAACTACGACGACCCTCTCGAGAGCAGCTCCCTCGAAAGCGCTCTTGCTAAAAGCGTCTAGACCGCAACCTCCCGCGTCAAAGAGGCAGAGAACCTGTTCGGCAACATAGTCCACACTATTGATCAGCAGTGCAATGATCTTACACAAAGTAGCCTACCTGAGAACCAACGAAAGGCCCTGCTTTTATTCCTCACAGATCTCTCTAATGTTGCTGAAAGCCACTTTTCGGCCTACATCAGCGGGATAATATTGGAGCCCACAGTAACAGCCCCAGGCGAGAATGAAAGAAGACTATCCTCTCAGCTCGCTACCACAACTCACACCTACGCTGGAGCAGCACACCGCGCAGAGCAGGCGCCCCCGCCACAAACCAAATCGGTTAGAGATAGCCACACCTTGCAGAAAAACTCTACACATCCAAGCGCAACCAAGAAACAACACCAACGCACAGACAATAGGTTGTTCGTCCGCATACCTGAGGGAGACAAATGTAGGAATCTTTCTGCGTACGCAATCCAGACACATCTGAAATTAAAGCTGGGACCTAGCGGCCCGCTCTTGACCAACGTCCAAGCAACTAAGACGTGATTCGCTCTATGCCCAAAAACCGGCGAATCCACTGCTCTGAAAGAAAAAATTGCTTCAGTTGACCTCATAGGCGATGCAATCATAGAGAGCGCAACCCCATGGGTGTCCTTCCGTATTGAAAATGTTCCACGTACCTTTAAGACAATTAACGACAACTTGGAGTACTGCTTAAGGCCAGTAACCCAAGAAGATATCCAGGAAGCCCTCTCCACTGCCACAGGTGTATCCCCAGTCGCCGTCTTACCTTCAAGAAATAATGATGCACACCCAAGCTCGTCAGCCACGTCATGGATCGTCCGATTCTCAGAGAGTCAACAACGTCTACCCCGCGTCCTTTACCTATTTGGATGCCGAACAGTAACAAAGCTTTTTCCGAGACGACAGTCAGTAATACAATGCCTCCGTTGCTGGTTATGGCATAAAAGTCGTTCATGCGCATCTCCTATTAGATCCCGTCTCTGTGGCTCGTCGCAACACACCGAAAGGGAACACAAAAACCACTGCGCTGCCCCGGCGGGCCACATATGCCCCCCTCGATGTATTCATTTCCATCGTCCTCATCCGGCTAATGATGCCACCTGTGAACTCCGCCTCAAGCCTAATTCACCCCCTAAATCACAAACGCAAATATCTGCAATCAAGAAAATCAGTGCAGAAGCTCAAGTGCGATACCAAGCAGAAGCTGGCTGTGTAAAACCCTCACCAGAGATCTCCAATGTCACTCAGCAAATCATCTCTACCCCAGCAGTAGATAATCTCCCGTCAGGATCAATACCACAAACTAGACAAAAATCTCCGACAGCGGCACCCCACCCTGGCCTCTCCGCTCAAAGCTCAAACAACCGTTTCGACATTCTTAGCGTCGAACATAGTCAGAGCGAGGAACAAATGTAACAATAATGAGTGGCAAACCTCGAAACACAGCTCGCAATAAACCGCTAAGAATACTCTCTCAAAATGTCGGACGAGGAGCACAGGCCCACGAAATCGCCTTAAACGAAGCCTATGCAAATAAGGTAGATATAATTTTAATACAAGAACCTTACATATTTCAAGACCGATCTAGGAGAATAACCAAACAACATCCATCCTTCGAATCCTTTTCCCCAACAGATAACTGGACAACGGAAAAGCCGCGCGTAATCTCCTATGTCTCTAGAGGAGTAGGTCTCCGTACAGAACAAGTCCGCACTGTAACATCTCGAGACATTTTACACTTACGACTAACATCAAAATATGGCCAGATACTCAATTTACTTAATATCTATAACGCAGCCGCTAGCTCTCTTGGGGAATATGCGCTTGAAAAATTGTACATATATCAGTCTAAAGAACTCGGCGGGAGTTGTCTACTCCAAGGGGATTTTAACCTTCACCACACTCTGTGGCAGCCATCATGACCACCCGGACAATCTAGGGGCTCAGAAACATTCATGCAATGGGCTGAAAGTCATAACTTCCATCTTCTCTCGCCTACAGAAGAGGAAACTCATAACCGTGGAAACGTACTGGACCTGGCGCTCGGGCGAGGACCTCTTTTGCATGGTGCAGAATGTGAAATAGCCACAGACCTAGACACAACCTCAGACCATCTTCCCCTCCTAACAACAATCGCATGGAATCGGAAAAGCGAGCCGCTCAAAAGACTCCGCCTAGATACCGTCGACAAAGACCTCTTCCGTCGCCTGCTGAAGACTTCGACCTGCTGTATTGTCCCCCTCCCACCTCATACTTCCAAACACGACCTCGATATACTGACAGAGAGCCTGATCAAAGCCATTGGTACCGCTTTCAATGGATCCGCTCAACGCTCTATAGGAACTAGTCGTGGTAATCATAGTGGAACAGTGCATGCAGGTATGCTCGCACACAGTATAAACATTTTGCCCGTTCCCCCCCAAATAACGAGATAGAACTCAGGGATGCAAAGAAAGCCTATCGCAAGGTGATAAGGAAAGCCAAACACGCCTTCTTCGAGACACGTGTTGTGAAAGCTAGCTCGGGTAAAGACGTGTTTGAAATGGCAAAGTGGCACAGATCAGCCGGGACCTTCTGATCAACCCCTCTCAAAAATCCGCAGTCACCCAATAGTAACCATGCAATCACAACAGAGGAAAAAAGGAAAGTTTTATTAGCCAACTTACTGACACACTCCACAAACGCCAAAGATATGCCATTAGATACTCCCGCTGTGCCAAATACCCAACTACCATTCCCTCTAGCTTATGAAGAAGTGAAAGCAGCGATTTTCCGAGCAGGCAATACCTCCCCAGGGGTTGACGAGATACCACCAGCTATCCTTAGAGAAGCATGGCCACTTATTCAAGATCATATCATAGCGCTCTTCACTAGTTGTCTGTCACTGGGATACCACCCCATCTGCTTCCGGCAGGCTGAAGTAGTTATCCTTCAAAAGCTTGGCAAGACTGATCTATCCTCGCCCTGATCTTATCGACCGATTGCACTACTTTCAGTTCTGGGAAAAGGTCTGGAAAGATTGATAGCAAAACGTATATCCTGGATCGCTGTCAAGCATAAGGTCCTGGCATCTCAACAATTCGGAGCTCTCCCCTGCAGATCTGCGACTGACCTCACAACCAGCCTCACCCATGATGTGGAGAGAGCTCTCAACGAAGGACGCACAGCAAGCATGCTCACACTCGATGTAAAAGGCGCTTTTGACACCGTTCTCCCAGGAAGACTCTTGTACCGCATGCGTACCCAAGGCTGGCCCAACAACCTCGTCGACTGGGTCGGCTCCTTCGTAACGGGACGCTCAGTACGGATCCGTATAGATGGAGAAATGGGCCCTCTGCAAAAAGTAACATGTGGTCTCCCGCAAGGATCTCCCGTATCCCCTATCTTTTTTATGCTCTACATTGAACCTCTCTTCAGACTCAAAAACCTCACAAATGCATTCGGATACGTGGAAGATGTGGCTATCTTGGATTTCATGGATAAACGTGGCGGAAACTAGGATGGTGTCTCATGGGGAGTTCCATTCTAAAACACAACTCGGGGTTAGATCAAGTTCTCAGACAATTAGGACAGGCTCAGGAACGTAGGGTTGTTTCATAGGGATTGCGTAGTAATACTGTTCGAGACAGAGCTTAGGGCTGTCCTATTATCTGATGTACATATAAACCCAGCGTGAAGGAGTATTCTTCTTC